TTATGTAATTAGTGCTACAATATACAATATTATGCTTATACTGCTTACAAAGTCCTTTCAAACACTAAACTCTTTTGTATTATTAACTCTTAAAATGTTTCTACCTACACGGCCACTACAAAGTACAATCGCGAGTAGTCACAGGTAGTAGGAATGGTGTTACCTCCCTCTCACTCTCTCTCTCTCTCTCTCGCCTCTGTGTGTGTGTGTGTGTGTGTGTGTGTGTGTGTGTGTGTGTGTGTGTGTGTGTGTGTGTGTGTGTGTGTGTGTGTGATTGTTATGAAATTGTATTGTCCCTTTAATCCAATGAAAACAGCCGACAGTAGCTATTGCGAATACATGAATATATGCAATACTACTTGGAAAAAAGGATCTTCGGTGAGGTCACACCAGAACGACAATTCTTTAAGTTTTTGCCGAGCTTTCGACGATAATATCTTCATCATCAATATAATATAAGTAAAAAAAAGCTTAATTAATCTTATTATTATATTATATCTTACGTTTATTAATATTCAAATGTACCTAAAAAAAATTATAAAAAAGAGGCATGTTCTTATACGTATATTTTAACCGAGGTAACCTATACGACCACGTTATTTTAAAAAAAATTATTTAATGTTGTTTTTATTGTTTTTAATTAATGTTTTAGATACTGAGCTTCACCTAATTTAAAATAATCTTATTATAAATGCAGTTTCTTTTTCTTAAGATATATTTCAACACTCATCGAGTTAAAGTAAGAAAAATATAATTATTTTTAAATTTTGTTTTTAAATGATACAGTAATCAGTATGTTCTAACAACAATATTTTCCTAAAATAAATGTGCCCTGATGATGACGATATATATAACCGTCGAAAGCTCGGGAAAAACTTAAAGAATTGTCGTGTGACCTCACCGAAGATCCTTTGTTCCAAGTTGTTCAACACTGGTCGATCCATTTTCTTTAATAAGCAATACTTTTAGTAGTCTTTAGTCCTTGGCAATGTTGGAACTATATCGGTCATAACGAAATTTGAAATAATCTATTAAAAACTTAATTACGTCAATCGGTAGACATATTTAAGATTGTTTTACCCTAATGATGACCTTAAAATAGGTCGAAAGCCTGGCAGTACAATTAAATTTACTTTTTCATCAATACCACATCGTGATCCAGATTATTTGTATGTTGTTAGTCTGAAAAATGAGACCTGCATCAGACCGAAATACTCATTGGTAATAAAATGTGTAAATAAAAAGAGGTTGCGAAGTTCCCAATCCCATCAATGATAAATTGGTATATTCAAATTGATAAGATTTCTAAAATCAAGCAGTTAATGTTTGACGCATTATTCTCGACTGCCTAGCAGTTAACAGCTGATTCGCTTTGTTTAACACCTAAAGAGTTGATCCCCTCTCCAAAGACTAACAACCATCCTCATCCGACACCTTCTCGTGAATACATAAATATGCAAATAATAAACAAAATCTGAAAGAAATTTATTGTATTGTATAAAATACACATTCACCACTTGTCACATCGCATCCTGGCTAAGCTCTATTCAGGTGGTCCCGGGAGTGTGTACAGTATAAAATATACTTTATACTCCATCTAGCTTGTCGCCTCGAGTTGTCGAGCTATTAAATATATTAGTGAGATTTGTGTTTGTGTGGGTGTCACTTTTTACATTATAAATAACGCCTAGAGCTGTCTCGGATTTACGATTGGTTGAGATATCGTTTAATAGTAGCCGGATTCTCTTTCAATCTGTGCTATATTATGGACGGTAATTTGCAACTTATAAGCTTTTCATTCAACAAAATATCATCTTATGAAATAATATTTGATTATTATAAAGAACCATATCAGAATTTTGTGCCATTTGGATAATTAATGGATACCTGACAGAACCGAAAATATTTTTCTCATGCAAATATCACTTAAATATTTGCATATATCTAATAGCTTTATAAGTAGAGCCCAAAAATATACCATATAACAGTTATTAAAAAAATCTAATACGTCATATAATTTGCACTAGAAATATAAAAATACGCAGGATGAATGCCACAGACATCACCCGACTAATAATTAACACTTTTTTTTAATCTAGAGACATTTTTCTCTAGTATATATTCATTTTGAAAGGAAATAGAACAGACAAAATTCAGTCGCACAATCATATTATTTAATACATTATGCAAAATAAATAATTAAATTTAATTAAGTTTTGATCTAAATTAGCATTGTCAATGATATACATTTCAAAGTTAGTTTCCGTAAAACAAGATTACCTCAAGAAGAGGTATTATTAAACACAAATAATTATACATTGATTTGTACCCATATATGAATCCATTTGGGTATCGAAGATATTTTTTTTTGCCATTTAGATAAATCTAGAATAGATTGATAATGCGAATATGAATAGATTAGAATTCATGATTGTTATATGCTAATAAATGTTAACAGCATTCAATTTCTATCTGAAATGACAGAGTAACAAAGTATGAGTACAAATAATTAATTTAAATTTTTTTAAAAATATTTTTTGACTCAGATTGGACGTTAAATGTATAGATTTCCTTTAATTGGGTTGAAAATGTTGTAATTGGCATTGACGATGGTGAGGTATCAATAGAAGAAGTTATCAGAGGTAACTTTTCTATCGTTTATCATAAAGTAATACGTACGTGATAATATATTGAAACATTGAAAAGGTAGCATTAATTCATTTTTCAGTTGTTTAATAATAATAAACGTTTATTTTTTATGTTAGAAAACATTTACATTTTTTTTAAACAAATATATCTTGTAAGGTTATATCTTTTAAAATATAATATGGATAATAATAACTTATCCATTTAATACAAGATTCTAATGATGGGTGTAACGTCCAAATAAATGTAAATAAGTAATGTATTTACTTTTTTTTATACAAAAAATTAATTGAAAATATTTTCCAACATAAACAAAAAAAATTAAATACGACAAAATAGCCTTAAAAATAGAAAATGTGTGGTGATTAGAGAAAATATATTTTTTTGCATTCTATAAATTCACTTTTTTCCACATCCTACATGTATTTGTTAAATTTGAACAATGTTTGTAAATCGCAGGCCCTGAAGATGATCTCAATAAAGATCGAAACGTTGGCACGATAAAGAAAATGTTTTTCTAAAACCGACGTCACACCAGACCGCATCTCACGATTTCTGAATAATTACTTAAAAATATAATTATAAAAAATTAAAATATGTATATCTTAAAGACATAAAGAATATCTATTAAACAAAATCAGGTTATACTGAGGTTTGTTGTTTTATCACATCGCAAAAAATTCCAGCCAATTGATTTTTTAAATTTTCTCCATAAAAAAATTCTGCCCTTAACTTGTCCCATTGTTTTTGCCAATAAATATTTGTTTATGCTATGCTTTAAATTGGGAATATCAATTGAAGGTAAACACACTTAATCCTTAATCCAAAACATGGATAAAGGATTTTTCATCTTTTTTGATAGAATTTAAAATGTTTATTCAGTCTCATTTGAATTCTGAAGCAATAAACTGTTTGTTGTCATCTTTGTTTACTTAATTTTCAATTTTTACACTTAAAAATGCCACTTACCGCTGAGGATGTTGCTCGTGGGGTGGCACGTATTGATGATGAACGTTCCATCACGTATGCGGCTGTTGCCATCGGAGTTCTCTACGAAACTCTGCAAGAATTCAACTGGATCCTACCAAAGAAGGCCCGGATCTGAACGCCCTAGAGTAATAGAATCACAGGATGACCGTTTTTTGACTTTGAGCATTTTGCGAAACCGGCTCCTTGAGAACTTGGCACGTTACTGTTGTTCAACCAGCTCCAGGAAATTCAAGGGGTCCAAATTTCTGAACGCACTGCATGAAGAAGATTAAATCACGGCTGATGGCTTTTCCCCCCGCAAGAGGACCAGAATTGACCAGAACCCACAGAATTTGCACGGCTCCCATTGCTCGAGTACACAGCCATTGGTCTTTAGACTATTACCATAGTAGTTACAGGCATATAATAATATTATTAATATAGAATATTACAGTTCTTTTTACAGATGAGTGTAAATTTGCTCTACGATCTCCAGATGGGTGTAAAAGAATGTGGAGAAGGCGAAATGAAAGGTACGAAGTTTATAATTTTTCCCACGATAGGATTTTCAATGGACTCGCTCTGGATGAAATTTTGGAACATCTATTCTAATGCACGATGATGCCCGTCCACATAGCTCGCATAGCACAAACTTACCTTCAACAGCATGACATCAGGGTATTAGCCTGGCCGGCCCGTCTCCAGACTTGAACATTTATGATATAACCTCAAAGACGAATAAGAGCACTTCCATTACTTCCTGATACACGATCTTCAAAGGACTCTTCGTGATGAATGGGCTAACCTCCAGCAAAGAGACATTTCCGGACTGGTAGAAAGGTATGCCAAGGCGTCTTCGAAATGTAATTCAGGCAAGAGGAGGAAATACGCGATATTGAAATGTTAATTAAAAATCTAAAACAAAATTAAAACAAATTTTATCTGTCCGTCTTTTTTTTCTTAGCAATTTACTTTTAAAAACATTTTTAGACAAAAACTCAATTATTAAACGTTAAAAAACGTGAAACTTTGATTAATATATAAAAATATATACAAATCAAGTTATATTACAAGTGGGTGGAATTTTTTTGCCTGTTAGTGTATAAGAAGGAAATACTTTTGCTTTGTTTAGCATAAAGGAGTCGGGCGTAACGTTGAAAATTGATTAATGGATCGGTTGAAAATGTTGTAGTTGGCACTGAGGATGGTGAGGTGTCAATAGAAGGAGTTATCAGAGGTGACTTTTCTTTGAGTTTACCGAGGTGGGATAAAAGTTGTAGGTGGTATACGGTTGAGAAAATCCGTGTAAAGAGTAAGGTGGGTTAACGGAGAGGAAGGGGCGAAACTGGGCGGTGCCAAGGCAGGGGGCGTAACCGAAACCCGCCTCCGTTACGCTTTGGAGGGGCGAACATGTTCCCCCTCGTGCCCCCTCTGCCCCTTTTCCAGTTAGTCGGTGCGCGGATCTTGCCCTGTTAACGTCTGTCCGAGCGTTTTCAGGCTTTTTTCAATCAAACCCTCTCCTGTTTTCTGAGGACAGCCGCTTTTCTTCCTCCGCATTTTTCTTTCACCGCCTCTTCCACATCAGCTGAACTGTGTTATGTGTTGTTAAGATGCTCGTCGGAACGATGCAAGAAGAGTTACCACCGCCGGCCAAAGTCCGAGCCACGGACTTTTCAATAGCGGCGATCATGGCCAGGACTGAAAGGTCGCCGGCCGCCCACCGTACAACGCCCATAGGTAAGGACGTTACTACTGACTTCCGTGCAAATCATACAAATATGCATGATCGTGGAATGACGGAAAACATCAGGGCACGTCATCAAAGCCTCAAACCGGGATTCGACACCCCCTAAAATCTTAAAATTATAAACAGCTATGTACTATGATGACTATGGTTTGATTTACTTCAGATTTTCAAAGAATGACCTAAACAATGTTACAATATGCTCACACTGTCCATTCATGTGCGGGTTGACATATTTGCACAAAAAACTTCGGTCTCCTTAAAAACGTTAATAATTTACTTGAAAAGGAAGATCTAGAAGATACAATAGAATAGGTTTTGAGTTTTTAATACCAATAAGAAACGTTCTTACGATTAAGCTTATCGATCGTGCCATCCGTTTTAAAATCCTTCCCAAATACAGTCATTTCCTGTTCAACAATATTTATTACCTTTAATCGTATTACTGACTCATAAAATCTTGTTAAACAGAATATAAACTTATTCAAACGATAACGCCTGCAATGCATAAATTTAATCCCGCCTGATTACCGAACTGTACGAACTTCTAAAAGAATAAATAAATAATAAATAAGAATATTTAGTCTGTATTGAAGTTTAGTAACCGTTTAGTCTTTTTGTCTTTTTCCCCCTCCTGATAACGGACTCTGGTTTTCACGAGGAACACGCCCTTTTATTTACTGGTAAATACATTGATGTATTTTAAGAATGGATAGTAAAATAAAAACTAAGTTAAAGTAACAAATATTTGCAGAGTCAGTGTACTAGTAAACATAGGTGATACTACCTATTAGATGAACATAGCTAGTTAACTACAAAAAAATTAAGTCAAAGTACATTGATGTATTTGAAGAATGGACAGTAAAATAAAAATTAAGTTAAAGTAATAAATATTTGCAGAGTCCGTGTAATAGTAAACAGATGATACTACCTATTAGATGAACTTAACTAGTTAACTACAAAAAAAAAATTAAGTCAAAGTTTAAAAATAAAGTTATTATATTTAGTACGTTCCGAGTGAAAAATATTAGCTCGACTCTTATAAGGACGACTTAACTATTTGACAACTGTTTTCATCATAGGTCTTGGTTCTTTTTCCTGCCGTAATAAACTAATTATATTAAAAAACAGTTCGTGGAGAAAATTAAACAATTTATCTGTGTTTATTAAAAAGTTACATTAAATAAGCATAGGTGTTGTATTTCGTTTATTCTACCCAGTTAGTTGAAATGCTGTACGCATAGTTGTCCTCGAAGGTAATATTATAACGATTAAAAGTCTCTTTGGTCATATTATGCAAACTCTTCTTACCACCCGATGAGTGTAAGAATTAAAAGAAGAATTAAATATATCAATTAGGAGAAATGAATTAGATTACTGTATAGATTAGTTGTACATTAGATAAATTCAGAGAGTAATTAGGAAAAGAATAATTAACCGAACAGAACAATAAAGCTCAAGTAGGAATAAGGTCACCAACTTTTCCATATTTATATCTCTGCCTGGTTAACTTAAATGATACAACCAAACTGAAACGGAGCGAAATGGCTGACTTATTCGTTATTTTAATCTCTGTAGCGGAACTAAAAATATTAACTAGGGATTAGGATCGTTTTGTCTTCATAACCACAACCGGCTTATTCGAAAAGAACAATTAATGATTTTCAGCATAGTATAATAATACTTTATCTAGCGGTAATAACAACGGCTATGTGTTGGCCGCTACGGTTTTGTCTTAATTGACTCTTGAATTGATAAATAAATTAATTGTTTTTAAAATTTATGGACGATAAAATCTTAACTTTTACAAGTTAATGAGTACATTTAACAAAATGATTGATGACTATCAAACTTTCTGCAGATCAGTCAACCATCCACAAATCTTATTCTTTGCCTCAAATTAGTTCCTGATCCTTAAAACGTTATTATCACCGCTACGGAAAATTACTTTCCCCTTAAATTATTCTTGTAAATAATGTAATGTAAATTACTCATTTTAAGTACAAAAAAATTACATTGTAGTAGAATGATTTCGAATATAAAAATAATTACCGCTGTTAATTTATATTTGTGAAGATGTACAAAAACACTGAAAATAATACAAATTTATTGCAATAAGAAAATATATGCGCGATTATTATTAAACCCAATTCTAATTGATTTATCTTTGAGGTTAGATATCGTGCGACAAAATAACTGGGGATAAGAATCTTAAGCATCTTAGAAGTTTAATAATAACAAAGACTTTATGGTTAAGAGACTCTTTTTAATGAATGTTGTTCTTATTCCATGCCGCAAGTTTGTTTTAGTATTAGTAATATCTACTGTATGAACGGTTTATTGTATAATTATTTTGATAAAAGTCAATAACGAATAATGTAAAGCAATCAGCTCTTTTAAGAGTAACATCTAACATGTGTGGTTTTATGGTCTAGGTCTCGCCTCTGAGAGTTGTTCCGAGGAGGAAGACGTGGAAGTGGACGTGGAAGAGTGTTCAGAAAGCGAGTTGGATCAAGAACGGAAAGGTACTCCAAATTCTGAACCGGGCAACTCGGACTCGGAAGGACGGGAGACGCCCGAGTCGTCCCGGCAAGGAGTCAAGTCGAGGTGCAACTGCCAAGAACTCCTTGGGACGACCTGTCACTTGGAAACAAAGGACCTCTGGGATAAGTTCCACGAGTTGGGGACCGAGATGATCATAACGAAGACAGGAAGGTCAGTTCTGATTGAAATATTCTTTTTCTTACAGCATTTAAAGCCGTATTATATTAAATAACCATCCATAGAAAATGACCCTACACAATTTGTTAAAATTCGGTGGTACGAACTATTTTAATTTTCATCTTTTTGGTAAAATTTAATACAATCAAAATGGAATAATGCTTAAGGTACAGGTACGCATTTTCGACCAAAATTATTTTTGCCAAACATCCGTGTATGAGTCAATAAACTTTGAACTATTCGGGTTCTAGCCTAGATAAAGCTTTTGAGTCGATTTGAAAAGTGGTCTGGTTTCATTGCAGAACAGCAACTAAAATTCAACGTTATTGAAAACTGAAATACCAAATTCAATTCATCAGCTCTTTTTCTTCCAAACAGAACAAACTTTAAACTTTGATCGACCAGCTTTCGATTATATTGCTGGATGGATTCCTGTTTGATTTATTCCTCCATACTTATCCGTAATGTTTCATATCATTCTTGTTCCTAAAGCTCAAAAACCTCCCAACCATATATCTTACAAACCCATCAGCCTTATTTCTTTTATCATCTGAGATACTCATAAACCCATTCCTTGGCTTCCGTCCTCATCATTTCCTTATCCAACAAGGTGTCGGAGTTGTCGACACTATCTCCTCTGCCTAGAGAATAAAGAGAATTGCTAGATATAGCACAGGTTTTCGATTAGGTCTGGCACCCGGGCATGCTTTATAAACTTAAACGCTTCCTACCACTCCTTATTTACTTATCATGAAATCCTATCTAACGACCGCTGCTCCAGAGTGAGGTGCGGCAATGAGTTCTCGGAAATTAGACAGATACAAACGTACATCCCTCATTATTCTTGGTCCCATCCTTTATATCATTTATAACACTAACCCTCTAATACCCTCATCTCATCACCACCCATGCGGACGATATTGCAATTTTGTCCTCTAACTGGAAACCTATCCAAAATCCAAGAACAGCTTGCGCTTATCGAAGACTGGTGCAAAAAGTGGCAAGACAGAATGAAAATAAAATGTATCAGTGTACATTCACATCGAAAAAATTGTTTTGCCCTCCAATGTAAATCAACAGCAAAGAGGTACCGAGTTCTATTCAAGTCAAGTACTTAGGATTATACCTAGACAGCAGATTGACGTTGAATCCCCACACAAGACTTAAACAACTTAAAAGAAGACTTGAACAACTACGAAGACCTCGGGGTCCGAAATCCTATTGTCCTAACTAACTTTATCCAATACTTTACTGAGTCCATTTTGGATGGAGTGGAATTGTGGGTTCTGCTAAACTATCCAGCATCCAGCACATCCAATCCTTCCAATCAAAAGATCTCAGATAAATCTTCGTACTAAGCTTCGTCACTAACTTTACTATCGACAGCGATCTCCTTTTGACAACGAATTGATCCCCGATTCCATTTGTTTTACACGCGCCTCTCGGTCCATCCTAACCTTACTTTTCGAGCTTCTCTACACTTTATCATCCCGAGTACCCGCCACGTCGCCTTAATCGCCCATGGTTTCGAGACCTCCTTGCTCCTTAATCCCATACACTGAGTGCCAGCATTGGCTGGTTTCTCATGCCCTTCGGATGAACTATAACTAGCTATTGAATTAGTGCTGAGACCCTGTCAAAAAATGTTTTGTGATTATGTGTAATATATACTAGTTTGCTTAGGGTACAAATAAAATAGTTAAAAAGTAAGAAAAAATTAATTTACTTTTCAATCCGTGCCTAAATTTTATATTTTAGGATATACGGTGGGGGGATATCGTGGAAACTAAAACAGTCCCACTGTAGATTGTCTAAATCGTTAGAACCATCTCCCGTCCGATCCATCACGTGGACGATTACAAGCTCGGGGCCAATTAAAAGCTCATTTGGCCAGGAAGCTGCACATCGGTCAACTGCTGACGTCAGAATGTCAGCTGCCGTGAATCCTTCATGCTCCGAGGCGCTTTTACAATTTCAAGGAGTTTGGTGTAGTTTTCTTGTTGACAAGGTTCAAAGCCCCATTGTAGAATAGAACGACTAACTTTACAAACATAAATAAAAGGTCGGCAAAGTATTACAGAAATTCCTGGGCGTTGGTTGGCAGATTTCTTGAACGATACAGAAAAGCTCCTCGTCCGCCAAATCCCATGACCGAACAGGGAACTGTCTATCACATTCATATTACGACTGACTTTTTTTTGTTACATTACAATATATGCCTCTTGTTAAATTTCCTGTTCAAAAGTTTTTAGACGATACTATAAAATTTTAACTTAACTTTATAGGTACATTTCAAATTACAACGTTAACAGCGGGGAAGAAATTACAATATAGCGTAATGTGCAATTAAGGACTTTCTAGTCGAGTGGTTTTTTTTTTGTATTTCGCCCACACTGAGGTTCAAATTCTCCACAATGGGTCTTCTTGGAATCTCATCTCTGGTGGGGTCCGGACGTTTTTCCGCTCCATTGACTGCCAATGGGTATACATTTACTGTCACTGGGCCCAACCGATTATCCCTCCACTCAGGGATTGACACCCAGAAGGTAATCCCGTTAGCGCTGACGGCTAACACCCGCTTACCTGCAACCTTAAAGTTGACTTTTTCAGTTAAAAACGTATTATTTTTAATTATTAAAACGAATCCAATGCTATTTCTCATTTAAAGAAATACAAAAGTGCTTTATTTCTATAAAATGAGGAAGACCATTTTACAATTACTTTATTAGCTAAGGAAATCTGAGTGGTAATGGTTTTATTATATTAATCCATAATTGTTTAGTGGCCATAATTGACCATATTAATTATTCCAATTAATTTTTCTTTTCATCTAAGGTTTTTGGTTGAGATGAAACTACTTAAATTCGAAATTAATAAATAATTATTCGGAAATCGTGAGATGCGGTCTGGTGTGATGTAGGTTTCAGAAAAACATTTTCTTTATCGTGCCAACGTTTCGATCTTTATTGAGATCATCTTCAGGGCCTGGGATTTACAAACATTATTTAAATTTAACAAATACATGTAGGATGTGAAAAAAAGTGAATTTATACAATGCAAAAAAATTTTTTGTATTCAATCAAAGTATTTCTACTCACTCAAAGTGTTTGTTTTCTGTGTAGAAATGCTATGATTGAATATAAATTTTTTTTGCATTGTATAAATTTTACTTTTTTCCACATCCTACATGTATTTGTTAAATTTAAATAATGTTTGTAAATCCCAGGCCCTGAAGATGATCTCAATAAAGATCGAAACGTTGGCTCGATAAAGAAAATGTTTTTCTGAAACCTACATCTCACCAGACCGCACCTCACGATTTCCGAATAATCCTCGACTAACGGTCACTAATCACCACACATTAATAAATAAATTCGAAGTAACGATAGTTCAAGTAGTTAGAGCAGCGGCCTATTGAGATGATGAAAATAATTAATTGGTTTTATTACAGTTTATATGGCCGTACACATTCTACACTTTCCATTTAAATTTGTGCAAATTACACGTTCTACACTAGCTCCTACAGAAATTATTGCTGGCACTTCAGCCAATGTAATATAAATATAAATTTAAATAAGATGTGATTCGCAAACCCAGTTGTTTTGCACGGTACATTTATTGTAAATGTAGAATTTAAAAAAAATTGTAGAAATAAACAAGGTTTTTTAAGCAATCGTTTTAATTTTTAGATTTCGCACATTTTCATCCATTACTATAAAAATGTGTGTAATTTTTGTTAACCTTCGAAATTTAGGACCGCTACGCGTATTAATGACATAAGTTGGCATTGTACTTTTAGATGGCTGTAAAGTCTGCACCGTATTGGATGTATGTCTATTCTTACTAAAGTCCGGGTCTATAATGCTTACATCACGTTGCAAGCGTACGGGAGCTAGTGCTCGACTAATCGTCCGGCAGTTCGAATTTGCCCGATCTTTTTACTCTATGGGTTGGGTGAATTAACAGAATAAAGAAGACAGACAATTTCCATGTCGTAAAAAAGAAAACATCTTGTTCGATTAAAATTTTCTGTATGGACTGTTTTTCAGTGGGGACTTTCTCATTAGTCTGTGGCACCCTCCGAAGACAATGTCCCCTGAGCACTTAAAAATACATTTCTTTTATCAGAGCGCTCCTGGCCGTGGATAATACCCAACTCTCTAATGGCTCTCCTAATAGAAAGATCCTATCTCCCCCCACACGCCCTTCCATAATTGCTATAACAACTAGGAACACATTTATTTCATGTGAAATGAACCAAGAATGCGGTTTAACCCGATTGCCGTCTTTTCCTCGGCGGTTCCGCCGTTTGGCCGTTTATTAGCTAATCACCTGAATGGGCGAATTTATTTGATTAAAACGCGATTATTCATTTCACAGCGGGAATTACGAAGAAATTGAGCCCTGTCAAATTTCCATTCCGTTCTTCCCATCGCCGCACCCTCGTCCCTTAAATTTTTCATCCCGAGGAAATTCTCCCAGGGGGCATGAAATATTCAGACGGAGCTTCTGACATATTTCCGGCGAGGGTGAACCCTCCAATAAGGGATACGGCCTGGTTGATAGGTGTTGCCTTGGAGATCTATAGAGCACCTTGCTGATGCGTGGCCAACATTACGTATAAGACCCCATTCGTCTCATCCCCGCTCATATCACGGTAAAATATGAAAGTCCCGAATTTTTCATGCAGGCAATAACTCGTTTATTCCTGTCTCGTCTTCTTCCTAAACCCAACGGGGATTTAATGAATTAAAAACCGACATGCACAGAAGTTTTATCAAGCATAGAGTACAATACATTTTTTATGAAAATAAATAGACTTTTATTTTTATATTCACTAGTTTTCGTGGTCCGCTTGACCAATTCATATTTTTCAATTAATTAAGGTTTTTAATTGAGATAAAAAAGAAGGGAAAATTCAAAAGGTGGGGTTGAGATGGGAAGTTGGTGTCCGAGTGGATCGAAGTCACGATAGCTCAAGTGGTAGAGTACCG